ATCAAACTCGCAAGGCAGGTGGCGGAACCACTGAGCTTAATCCCCAGTCCCATGTGATATATATTTTTAAATGTGTGAACAATAAAAATGGATAAAGGCTTGATATCAGAGCTTGATATTTTTATTCAAATAAATATCTGCTTCATCAATTATTCATGTATTTATACTTTTAAATTTATTACATTTAATCAAATATTCATGCTTATTATATAATTATTCATCTATTTATAAAACAAGTATTTATCAAGAGCCTACTATGTTCTGGTCACTGATTTAATGCTTAGAATACAATAATGAACAACAAAAAGTCCTATCCTCCTTCTCCAAGACACTTTGGTGGTTGAAAGGCAATAAAAAGGACAAATTAGTAAAATATACATGTTGGACAGTAATAAGCACTTTTTATAAAGGTAGATTTTAAAAGGTGATAAAAATGGGGGGGGTATGATGAAATTTTAGACTGGGTGACTAAAAAGGAACTCACTGAAAAGTAAAGAAAACAAAACAAGAAAAAAATTCTTTAGTTGACAACCACAACCACACTACCCTCATCAGTAGTTGCCAAGTGGCAGGAACTGGATGAGTGCTACTATGTATATAAAATAGTAAAATATGTGACCAATTAATTTTCAATCTTTTCTTTTTTCTATCTAGTCATCAATACACTTCTTAGTAATTCTTGGACAAATTTTACTCAAATTGACATGTAGAATTTTCATCGTTAATTGCAAATATTTTCTAAATTCCAATAGTTCATCTTTGACCTACGAGTTAAAAAGGTAAGCATGGGTTTTATTATTGTGTTTGGGTTTTTTGGGGGGGAAGGGGAACCGGGGATTGAACTCAGGACCTTCCACTTGCAAGGCAAGCACAGTGCCACTGAGCTAAATCTCTGGCCCTGGGTTACTTTGTTATAAATGGATTTCAGTGATAGAACAGTCTGAATGATACATTCCCAGCCCTTTTTATTTGAGACAAGTTATTGCAAAGTTGCCCAGGCCAGGTTTCAATATGTGATTCTCCTGCCTCAGCTCCCAGAGCGCTGGGATTACAGGCACACACCACATCTAGAATCAGCCCACAGACAATTCTAATTCCATGTCTACCCTAGGGTCCATTCTCCTCCTCCCATTCCCTGCCAGTCATACAGGAAGTGGTTACTCAGGGTCTTGCACTGCAGCATCTGACCAGGACTTTCTGGCTTACTGATCTTGAACAACAAGCACCATGATTCTCAAACAGCAAAACAAAATCTTCACTCACATGTTTATTCCATTAACTCCTCAGTTCATGCCCATAAGTACAGGAAGCAAAAAGATAATTACTCCACTTTACAGAGGAGGAACCTGAGATCCACAGCAGATTGCTTCCAGAGTGACAATGGGTGATGCAGAGTGCAAGTCAGCTCCGCCTGCAGCTTGCCCTAGCTCTCCTAAGACAGCAGAGGGGTCCAGGGCTCCAGCCTGCATTTTCTCCTACACAAATGCTTATCTTTATAAAAAAAATCTTTTTTTTGTACCAGGGATTGAACTTGGGACCTTGCACCTTCAAGCCAGGCAGCACCATTGAGCTAAATCTTTAACAACAAAATTAGAGAAGCTCTAACAAAAAAAAAAAACCCATATATACTTAAAAACTATAGAGAAATTTTATATTTATGTTTTGTCTTACTTTACTTTTCTTGGTGCTGAGACAAAATACCCAACACCCAAAAGTAAAGGGGGAGAGGTCTATTTAGCTCAGTTTGTAGAGGATTCAGTCCATAATCGGCTGGCTCCAAGGCAGGGTGGCACATGGCAGAGGGGCAATAGTTCATGGAGGATTGAAGGTAGAAAAGCAACAAGAGACCTTAACAGCTTCTTCCTGTCCCTTATATCTTATCCAGACTACTTAAAGTGGGTAGCACTCACACCCTTAATCCTAGTAACCTCACACCTAGCACTGCACCACGAAGCAATCACACACTACATTCAGGCACCTCTGAAAAAGCCCCACCTACAACTTCATGAGGCTTTGGGAGGACATCTAGACACAAGCCATAATATGTTTATCATTTTCTCCTTTTATTTATTTATTCAAAATTGTACTGACTTTATTATATCCAGATGTTATGTTGGTTTTATTTACAGTAAAACTATTGAGGTATTTTAGCACTTTTTGTTTTCATATCAAATGAGGCCTGGGATATAATCATTTTAAGATTTATAAAAAGAAGGGCTAGGGATTTAGCTCAGTGATTCTGGTGCCTGCCTCACAAGTGCAAGGTCCCGAGTTCGATCCCTGGTACCAAAAAAAGAAGGTTTTACTTGATTATCTAACACATGTAAATTAAGTGAACCATTCTCTTCCATTATTCTGTAGTGTACTTTACACAGTACTGATATCCAATCAGTACTTCAATTAGAGAGTTTTAGTGAAACATAATGTGAATAATGTTTTGCTGCAAGTTTGTATCTATTAGGAAAAAATGGAAACAAAGTCTTCGTAAATAGGAAAGGGTGGAGGGGGTGAAGGGAGGGCAGAGGATTGGGGGAAAAATAAGAACCAAGATACATCATGTAAAGGTTCAAGACCCCAATGATGAATGTAACTGTGTTGTACACCTAAAATATACCAACAAACTTAATGGAAAAAAAAAATAAGAACCAAGATATATCATGTAAAGGTACAAGTTGCTAGTGATGAATGTAACTGTATTGTATACCTAAGAGGTACTAATAAACTTAATAAAAAATATGATCATGAAAATGAATTGGTCACTAATGAACAAATCTTTAAATGGAGTTAAGGGCCAAGCCCAATGTTCACTTGAACTAACCCTAAATCCATAAAAGACACTTGATAACATAAATAATTTGAGTAATCCAAACACATACATATTTTTGTTCCTGAGATTAAGTACATGGACATCCATATTAGGATTGTTTGGATTCTAAAAATCTTAGGTTAGGATCACAGAAGTGGCACAAGGAGAAGAAAATAAAGCAAAAAAAAACTAAGGAAAACACTGCTCACAAGGAAAGGAATAAAGCTAAGACTGTCATTCAGAAAATAGTCCCTCCTCTTGCTGGGGCTAGGGCAGTAGGAGGTCTCCAGTGTGCCTGTCACAATATTCAAGTTGTCCTTTATCACACACAGTCTACCTTGGGGTCCAACTGGCAGAACAATATAAACAGATGTTTTCTTGGGTGACTAGTCACTTTAGTGTGACACCCATTCAGGAGAATATATGGTATTTTTATCTATGTGATGGATTAACTAACGGTCAACCTGGAACACCCAACTGAACTGATCAGCATGGTCTGGGCATGGAAGACCCACCTAAAGATTTTTGCCAACAGCATAAAGAACTGGAAGAGAAGATGGTATGCTGTTTTCCTGGAGAAGTTTGCCATGGGTAGTTTTCCTGATGTGAACATAGTTGTTCTCTCCTTATTGGAGGACCTCAGGTCCTCCCTGTTGCTAGCAATGGCTGCTGTTCATCAGGTGAGTTCTGATCTTTGCTGTGAGCATCACTTCCTGGCTCCAGTATAGATTCTTCAGCCTAGGGGCACAAATTCTTCAGCCCTCCAGAGTAGTCTTTCTAATTTCCACCACTGGCCTTGGGGCCTTCCCAGTACAGATCCTCGATATGGACAAGCAGGAGACATGGGAAAGCATGAGACATTGCTGTAGGCTCAAGGCCTCTGGGTGATCTCATGAAAGACATTGCCTTGGACTATAGGCTTTCAGCTGGACTTTTGCAGAACATTACTGTGGAATCTAGGCCCTTGGCTGGATTCTTTGGGTTTCTAGTGTGTGGTTAGATTTCTTGGACTTCTCTGCATTTGACTTTTGGGGCAACTATTACAATAAATTATGTGTCCTGTATTAAATCTATTCCCTTGCCAACCCTGACTACAACAAAATTGGTACCAGTGAAATGGGGTCGTCGCTAGGACACTGGCCATGTGGCTCAAGAGACTTTGGAACTGGCTTGTGGGAAGGAGAAGTTAGGAAAGATTCAGAGATGCCAGCTGAAGAAGTAATGCCGGAATGCCTTGGGCTGTTCTGTATGGGAGATTCTGGTCAAAGCTCAGAAAGCCAGGCTCAGGAGGTTTCTGCTGGTAAGAAAAACTGCATTACTGTTGGGCTCCAGATGATGCATTATGGCTTGGCAGAGTTTGTCTGCATTTTGCTCACATCCAGAGAATTTACCTGAGATTAAGGGTGGCAGGCTAATCTGGCAGAAGAAATTTCAAGCCAGGCTAACGTCAAGGCCATGGCAAGAGTGCTATTAGATGCTTTTAGCCAGATCTATGATGAGAATCAAGAGCAAAAAGCCCAGAAGAATGATTTAAAACATTTTGAGTTTGGCCAGAAAGGAAGTTCCAGTAAAGCTGTGGACTGCAAAGAGATCTTGACTGCTGAGAAGGGAAAGAATACAAAAGATAGCCCAATGGCATCATAAGCAGCAGGACACCACCCTTCGCAGCCTCAAAATTGCAAAAGTGAAAGACTGCTTTGAAAAGAAAACCCCACAGCACCATGTTTCAGAATGGCAGCAGCCTAGAAAATTTGTTCCTCAGCGGATTCAGAGTGTTCAGTGATCACACTCAACCCTACATCCAAGAGAGGGAAGACTAGCTACTGCTGCAGCTGGCAGCAGACCTTGGCATCATCCACACGGTGCTGGTTTAAGGTGCATGCAGAATGCAAGAGTTATGGGGTCAGGAAGGGTTCCACCCAGATCACAGAAGGCCTAAGAGGTGAGTGTGCCCAAGAGGGCAGTGTTTGAAGCTGTGAGTGTGAAGTCTAAAATGTAGTGGAGACCCCAGAAGTTTGGAGACAACAGGTGCATGGATTATGTGAGGAATGCTGCAAAGAGGGAGCAGAACCAGCTCAAGAGAGAAGCCATGGGAGTTACAATCATCTGCAGTCCCATAAAGGCAAAGCCACTCTAGCCCTTTATAGAGTTCACAACTTGCCACAGACTCTGGGATGCTGGAAGTGGAACTATGGGATTTAATGTTTGCCCTGCTGAATTTTGGATTCACTTTGGTCCCATTCCTTTGTATCCCCCTACCTGTAACCTTTGGAATGGAAAGGTCTTATCTTGTGCCATCGAATGTTCGAAGTGGTCAACTTTCTTTTCATTTTACAGAAGCTTGCAGCTAAGAGTTTGCCTTAAATCTAAGAGGAGACTTTGGACTTGAACTTTTCAGCAATGTTGGAACTGTTAGGGCTTTCACAACTTTTAGAGATGGACTAAATGCCTTTTGCATAAAGGGATGTGCACGACTCTTTAGGGGGCCAGGGGCAGAATGTGATGGCTTGTGTTTAGATGTCCCCTCAAAGCCTCATACAGATGAGGTGGGGCTTTCTTTTTCAAGAGGGGGCTGAATCTGGAATGTGTGATGCTGAGATTAAGGGTGTGTGATTACTAAACCACAAGAGTGACTGGTTGGCACTTAATCCCCATAGGATGAGATGGGATAAAAGGAGGAAAGATGCTGTTAAGGCCCCTCTTGTTGCTTTTGCTGTCTTCTGCTGCCATGAAATGTTGCCCCTCTGCCACCCTGCCTTGAAGCCAGCTGATTATAGACTGAAACCTCTATGAACTATAAGCCAAATGAACCTTTCCCCCTCTAACTTTAGGTGTCAGGTATTTTGTCTCAGCAATAAGAGAAAAATAACTAACACACCCTTCTTTTTCTCAGTTACACATACACTTGCATATATGAACAGTCTTAGAGATAATATTTAAGGGGAGTAAAAGAGACCACAGCTTATATTTTACTAAAAACCTGTTAGCATCCAGGTCAACTCAGTGTCACGTGTCCCCAAATGCACAGAAGGTTACTCGATGGTCTTGACAGTATCAACATCAGTGACACTGTTGATCTGATTTTTGAATGGTGACCCTAATATGCTTTTCCAGTTCCAATAAGTTTTGGTAAAATTTTTCAGCAGTGTCTTCATCTATGTCCAGCTAGAAAAGAAGCAAAAACAGGGATGACCAGAAAGGAAAAAACAAACAGTATGTGTATAAAAGGAAGGCATTCTACATATTTTAAGAAAAAGGAAAAAAAAAAAGAGAGAAGCCAACAGAAAAGGTCTGAGGTGGCTGCCATGCAGGGACTGTCAGAAAACTCTTAAGAACCCAAGGGGATATTAATTATTATGCAAGCTCTAGCACTTAACCAACCTACTCTTCCCTTAAATGGTAAGACTGAAAGATCTGAGTGTTGCTATCTACTCTGACTCCTATGAACCTAGTAACAGAAGACACTGAGCAACTGTGAAAGCAAACACAAAAGAGGTAAGTGAACAGTCTTGAATTTCCAATAGCTAATCACTTAAGATTCATCATCTTTTCTCAGTGTCCTAGTTAGCTGAGCTCACTTTTCTCCAGAAATCCTAGCCTCCTTGGAGGATGTGGGTGCCATATGACACTATTTTGGCCAATGAGACCTAAGTGCTAATCTTTTCAAAAAGATCAGGGCATCCTTTCTTTTCTCTCTTCTTCCATACTGCTTTCTCTCTTTTTTTGTTCTTTTATTGGTACATTTTAGGTATACAATTCATTTACATTTATCGTTGGGTGTTTGTACCTGTACATGATGTATCTTGGTTCTTATTTTTTTCCCCATTACCTGTGCGCCCTTCACCAGTTCCGCCC